GGGAAAGAGCAGTCAGTCTCCACAGAGGTCTGTAACCAGCAGCTGCTTCCCGGCTTTTCAAAAGAGAATCATCAAGGAACAAAAAGCTTTGCTGAATTTGATATTTTCCTCTCAGATTGAACTGACTGAACAATTGAGATGTCTGCAATCCTTCTTTGCAGGATCTGCCTAGATTACAGAAGAAGATACCAGAGATGTTTCTCAGTAGTTTCATACTTTGCTTCCTAATCTATAGGACTCCCCAGTTCTATTAAATGAGTTTCAGACTCCTGATTCCAAATGACAATGGCAAGAAAGCATCTTTAGGTTCCCTCACAACTTCCATTTAGTACAGGCTGACTTCTCTTCACTGATGGCAGTGAAAAATCAGAATACAGAGAACATTCTCCATCCAACTAGACATTTTCCTACATAACGTTTTCAGTTAAAACAACTTGTTAAAGAAAAAACTTTTCCCAATTTATCAATTAAGTGTGTTCAGGGTGTAATTTCCAGTCACAGAAAGACAGTGATAGATCCTGCAGTGTAGCGGTTAGGCCATTCAACTTGGATGTGAGAAACCAATGTTAAACTTCTTTTCTGCCCAGTTTAGGCCAGGAACCTGGGCCTGATACTTCCACATCTCAGCTGAGGGCTCTGACAACCAGGCTATTCCATCCTTGCATGATCCACAAGAGCTTTTGTTTGTTTAAGCTTCTGTAAACTCACACACTGGGTGAAAAAGTGACTCCAGAAGCTCCTCAGGAAAGACATAGCCATCTGGGATGTATGTGATCCCGCTTCAACTTTCTGTGCCAATGAATATTGAATTATTTATACAAAATAAATCAGCTCCAGCAGAGCAGCCTGCCACAGAACAGCCACTATAATAGCATAACCTGAGATACGCAGAGAATGACAGGGGACGACAGTGTAAAGACTTGAATTCCCAGATTATTGGCAATTCTAAGGCCTTACTCCTTTTACTTTCTCTGCATTTTCACAAAAATTTAAGATCAAGGGTTTGTACAATTACCAAACAACTTATTTTTGTAATCAAACATTTTTCTGGGCTGTGAAAACCGTGTGATCCTACAGTTTGGGGTTACACTCCCTTGGGCCTTCTCCGCAGTGAACATAATACAGCCTCACACTCACAATCTAACCCACGCCAACGGGCCCAGTTATCAGTGCACCCACCTGCTGAGAAGGCTAAGAAGGCCTCCCGCATCACAAAATTTCCATTCTTGTCCAAGAAATGACCGGGGTTGAACGGGTGAGGGGTCTCCCAGTATTCAGAGTCAAAAAGAGTTGAGTCTATGTTTGCCATAATCATAGTGCCCTGAAAGGAAGATGCTGTTGGCTCAGTTGTGTCACCCATCAAGAAGAAAAGGACACAAACAGATTACAGCTATAATTCAGCACACTGCTGGTCACGTGGAAAATCAGCAGAAAAGAAAGATTATTTTATTAGGAAAAAAAAAGATCTGAAACTCAAACTGTTTTCAGGGTTTTTTTCTTCAAAAAACAAGTAAGAAAATAAACTTCAGTGTTTCAGGTTCAGGAATTTCCCTGCTGTACTCCTTCATGTCTCCTTTTTTTCCATTCTGTTAGAAAAGGCAACAGAATGAGTGGTTTGCAGTTGTTCAGCACCTCATCCTAAATCTAGTAAAAATTATTTTCCCAATTCTGACAAGTTTTGGCAAATAAAGAAAAAAGCACCCTGGAAATTAAATAGTATAATTCACATTATTTTTCTCAAGCTGAAGGCGGGAAAGATGTGCACGACAAACACCATGGAGCAGGGGTGTGCAGGAAGATGCCTCCATGTGTGCCTTTAGGGAGGTTTGGCATTGAAGTTAAGTTTGGAAAGGCTGGACAAGTCAAAGAAGCTGGCAGAAGCTTTTTATTTGAGGTTAGGTAACAGTTTAGAAGCTGTCAGGAAATATCTTTGTTATATTTCAAATATGATGCCAGATTTAATAATAAGAAAAAGTCTGAAGTAAATGAAGTTGAGTAGATGCTTGATATTGTCTCAGACATCACCAATGAAGAAAACATTCCATCTCCCATTTGTCCACATGGCAGACAATATCCTAGCATTAAGTCTGCGGCACTTTTCCTACTGACACCACTGTATGATCCTGATAAGTCTTTCTAAGGTCTTTTGAAAGTATAAGAGCTCAAGTGCTTTAAAGTATTTCAAAATCACAGGATCTTGGAAAGTAAGACTCTGCAGCACTCCCACAGAACACTCGTTTAATTGGTGTGAAACTGTGTTTTTGGAAAGCATTTTCACTCACTGTCTATGAGATAAAGGCACAGGCCAGAGGGCAGGGTAGCGGAAACATGCTGCCTGCCACTGTGGTCACCAGCACCCATCTGCTTGAATGGGAGGGAAAAGGGGTTAATGGTAAACATGACTGCAAGGAACTTAACTCATGGCCAAAGATCACATTGGAACAGAACAGATATCTACCTTTGGAAGCTGATACCCCAAAACAGTTGTATCCTTCACCACTTCCCTAGGAATTGTGATTAAAATAATGCTACCAAAGTGCAAGATCTCATGAATCACAGCATTTGTATTTTTTTCCGATCCTCATAGCAGATGAGATGGGAGGGACTCAGAACGGCATCTAGCTCTTTCTGCACTTTTTCTAAAAAAAAAAAAGTCCCTATACATACAAGAACACTGTTTTGCATGAAACAGAGCTTTCATTTCCTTTTTGGATTATAGCAGTGATAGGAAAATATACAATATGTAATTAAATAATATTTACCATATCTTAAAATGTAAATACGTTTATACGACTTCTAGTTATGATTTTACTACACTCTGGTATTTCCTAGTTTATAGGTTCTATGTTCAGATCATCTTTCCACAAGCCCAACAGATTTATTGAGCTTCATAGTTAAAGGAAGGGGCACAGACTGTAAATAAAACATGAACTACTTCTTAAGAGATCAGTTCAGTTACTCAAGCTTTTATTTTTACTCTAGTTAAATACAGACTCACAGCACACTAAATCAGCATGTTGCAAGGCAGCCACTGTATCAAGCTGATACATGTATGTAATGCTGAGGACTGGAACAGGATAATATTACCAAACCATCACCAGCTGTTAATCTCTTCTGGCTGTTATCTAGGCTTCAGTAAGTAACACAGCTGATACAGTCTCAGAGGGTTCAGGGTCAAATTTCATGCTTTAAAATTAGGCTAGTAATCTAAGAGGATTTGTTTGCCTTTTATTTCATTAGAATTTGAAAGTATGTGTGTGCACAGGGCTCTGTTCTTCCAGAATTCAAGCACCAAAAGCATGAAAAAAACAATTTCTAGCTCTAAATCTAAGAGTTGAGAACATGTACCTGGTTAGCAATTCATCACCTCTGAAAGCCCTGTATCAAATCATTAAAACATTTTGAAACTAGTGTGCAACTATGACTTTGTCCAGAATTTCCCAGCCATCTTTTTGTTTTCCCATTATTGTCTTCCTTCTCTGTTTAACATTCCCATACATCACAATAAATATACTTCTTATACAGAAATACAACTGGTGTCTCAGTTAACGAGTGCAAATAGTATATTCTTACTACACATTCTGGATACAAGAAAAGCGACACTTTTCCCCAACCCAAGCTCATATTTCACATGTTTTCAGCCGGACTGTATCTTCCATTACATGCTTATAGTACTGAAACAGTCTGACAAAAAAATCAACAGACAAAATACAGTATCAGAAGCTGAATATCCCCGAAATTATTTAAAAATCTCTGTCTGAAAATTTTTTACTTCACCGGCTTCTTAAAAGCAAAGCTCAAAAAAAAAAGAAAGCTTGATATTAAAAAAACCTTAATCTTAACTAAAAAAACCCAACCCTTTAACAGACAATTGTTCTACTTGAAACACACTTGTGTTTTTGTCTACAACTCACCTTGGATGTCAGGATAAGCCACCATATAGAGCAGCGCCCAACGCAGAGTGGTGGCAGTGGTCTCTGAGCCACCCAGGAAAAGGTCAAAAACAGACTGCACCATGTTGTCTTCATCAAATGTAGAATTGGGGATGTTTTTAGCCTACAGGTGTCAATGAGAGACATAAAATGGGGTACACCTGTGTGGCAGCACTGAGACAGAGACCCATCACTATACCTAAACAAACAATATTTTTAGAGGATGGAGGTACTTGGGTAGAACAACGATTCACGCAAAGATTTTCCTCAAAGAAGTACGTTGACACTGTTAAATTACAGGCGCTGTTGAAAGCGTCAGGTGCCTAAGGCCCTGTTACGCTGCCTTCTAGAGTGACTTGTGGCCTCGCTGCTAACTTCCACATCAGAAAAACACATTTCAAAGTAGTTTCATCTCATCCTTTTCACTCTTTGTACATTTGCTGATTTCAGCCATCTATTGCATATATATGTTACATCTTAAAAGATTTATGCTTTTTTTCAGAGCAGAGACTGCTCTCTTTTTTTTTAAGATTGTTAGGATAATCATACAGTACTACTAAGCGCACGAAAGCTCAGTACGAAGCATGAAGACAATAAATGTAAATATTAATAAGACACAAAGAATCAGAATTAGACAGCCACCCAAATATCAGCACCTTTTCGCAGTCCCCACTGCTGCCCACTGCACTACAGACTCCACAGTATGACAACAAACCAATGTAATTAAATCAGACTTCTACAGCAAGTTATTAAAATAACTATCCAAAGTTCCTGTTGGAATTTGACGGCAGAGTTTTTAAACTGTATCCGTAGAGCTCTGTAGTAACGTTGCTATGTACAGGCAACTGTAGGGAAGGCACAGGGAATCTGTTACGATAGGATCTGTGCCACATACAGCATGAATTACTCACTTTCTCTATCTGATCCGGGTAAAAGTCAATGAAATCTTCTGGTTCATCTATTGTGCCCTTTTGCCTGTGGCTTTTGATTTCCCGCCTTATGAAAGGCCGAACAAAATCACAGGAAAACAACGCTTTCTGCGCAGGTCCTGGGAGGTGCTCTGCAGCCCATGGGAATATTTCACACATCTGTGGAGCAACCATTCAACACAGACACGGTGAGTTACAAGACAAGAGCAAGGCTATTATAGAGATACAGCATGGACATTTTTCGTGCTAAATTGCTGAATTAATTTCTCTAGGAAAAATACTGTACGATCAAAGAGAAACGTTGGGTTCATATCGAGTACAGGAACACACATTAAAACCACAAATTAAAGACAACACAGTTTCCACCCTGGATTATTTCCCATCCTTACTGCATAACTCTACTTGTATTTGCCCTGTAAATTCACCGACAAAAGAATCCACTTTCACAGATAGATTTAACATGTATTAATATTAATAAATGTATTATGAATAAGCATTAATATATATTACCTTAGCACACAGAAAAAAAATTATTCCCTTTTATTCCGATACAAAGAGTATCACCTTTTCATCTTAACAATACTGGTGTTTCCACTGCAGAAAAGTTCAGCATCCCAAGCACATCACCTTTGCTCCGAAATTCTAATAAAGATTATTAATATAATAGTTGAACAATGTCAAACCCAAAGCACTGCAGGTCTAGTTCATATTCATAGTCAGAATTTCTATCAGCATTTAATGTGTACTAAATAATGCAATAACTATAATAACATACATTATAATATAATTATATAGGATAATAATACAATTTAAAATGTGCTCAACAATCAAATAATTTGCATACTAAATAAGTAATTTTCTCACATAGTAAAAGTGGCTGTTCCCAAAAGCCACTATACAATTGTACACTTCAATCAGCTGGCAGAAGGTTTCATCCTCTCTGGAGAAGCGATGTCCAAAAACCACAGCACAGATGACGTTAGAGACAGCATGAACAATGGGGAAGGAAGGGTCAACAGCTCTTCCTGCAGACAGAGACAAGCATTCATCTCCAAAACACTTTATCTCCTTTGCTACTTTGGAAGCAAGATCACAATGACATTTTATAATAGATGTCCTCTATGATATTTAGACTGTTAGACTGAAACACTCAAAATTCACTGCAAACATAACAAAAGATAAACCTCATTCAAAAATGAGGACAGAAAGGCCTCAAGTCTTCAACTTCCAGCCTTGCTTTTTTGTTTGTCACCTTTTCTAAAAAAAAAAAAAAAAAATCTTGATCTTGGTGTTGACACCAAAATACACATTGCTGAGGTCTGACTGTACAAACAGTTTTGATCATACTCTAAATCTAAGCTGTGCTCCAAACCCATCCTTTTCTGGAGCAAAAATAGTTAGTTTTCACCCTCAGAGTCATGCAGACTATGTACTATGTCAAAAGCCCAGATGCAGTTCCCAAGCACCTTGCCAACAGCATACCATCTTTGTCCCTGAAGAACTCGACCAGATAATGGGCCTGAGTTTGTATCTCCAAGTTTCGGAGAACTCCAATTCCAAAATGCCTCTGATGTTTCCAGATGGGACCGCTTGAGACCAGGATACCTTCAGCCATCAAGAATCAAACTTATGTCACGTTAATGTTCATATAATAGTAAATGACAGACACACTAAGAATCATCTTCTCATCATGCTGTCACTCAAAGAAGAGAGTCACATTAGGGCAATGTTCTTTTACTTGGTTAATAAATTTCCACCCCTGCAAAAAAGCCCACTCAAATCTCAGGATTCACACACTTGCCTTCCAAAACTAGTCCTGTTCTTTCTGAAGCATTCAAGAACAGTTGTCATTACTCAAAACTCCACCCAGCAGCCTGCTCCAAGTTGCAAAGACTGTGTGAGTTGGTGTTGGCTTCTCTTTGCCCATGCTTTGAGCAGAAACGAATCTAAAACTTCATTCGCACAGCAAGGCTTACAGCCCAGCTCATGCAATCTCTTACAAGATCTCGTTTGTTATTCTGTATGATCTTCTAATACAATTAATACTTGTAGGCTATTGCATTTTGCCCATTATGTTTGACAACATCCCCATATGGTCATCGTGTTCTTACAGATGTTGCCACTTGTCAAATCTGCAGAAGTGGCAAAGACAGCTTTCCTCAACAAACAGTAGAGTTCAGGTTTCTGTCGTTGGAAATACGATGATGTCTCTCACCAAGCTACTCATAAGCCAGCGGCGATTTCTGTGGAGCTCATTGGGGAAGTGTCGATGTTTCCTATGTTAGTGTTTCTTATCCTTATGCAAAACTTCTGGAGATCATCACATGTCCCTGTTGGTAGTGCTTCAAAAAGAAAAACTCTCTAATGGCTAGAGTTGATAACTGGTTCTGAGCATGCGTCTGTGCTACACAGTCTCTGGCTTTTTAAGGAGTCCTGCTTTTACCAGACTGTTGACACCAGATATTGAGCTCTTGTCCTGGTCCAGGTCCCTCCTGGAAAGACAATGAAGCCAGGGCAAGAACTGTCTAGCAAGAACTAGAGCAGGAAAAGCAGGCTTTAGCCAATCTCCAAACAGCTTCCGAGGACCAGAGGTCTCACTGTGGGACAGGAAGGAATCCCAGGCCCCTGTGGTGTGAGTCTGTGTTCTAGCAGACAGCCCAGCATAAACCATTTAACCCACATGGTGGGGAACCACTTCCTTCCACCATGGGAAAGGCAGCTTGCTCCTTGAGACAGCTGCTTGACCACAGTCTGGAATAACACTCCCCTATTCCTTCTGTGTTGCTGGGACCCTGGGCTAGTAGAAAAGAAGCCAGCCCAACAGGTAGGTATTTGTGTCGCAGAGATTGCCAGCTTGCAGCTGTGCACCAGCTGTTTGTTAAAGCCATCCCTCTGACAAATTGCCATCACTCTGACAATAGCTACTTCGCTCCACATCACCCAGATAAAAGGTGTCAATGAAGACCCTTCCAAATGGATTGAAATGGTCTCAGACTTAATCATCTCTATCCCTTAAGGATGTTTTTCTCTACTTATATTAGCTACTATTATAAATTAAAGCTTTCCAGATCGTAGTCCACATGCAATAAAGCCTGGCTGAGGATAAAGGCATCTAGTCTACATCCTCCAGATAAGAGGCTGATGGAAACAAGTTCAATCATTTCTGTTTTAAACGCAGCACCATCTTTATTCCCCATCCATCCATAATTCAGCGGTGTCTGATATCAATGCACAATAAGAAGCTCTGAACAAGGATATGTTGCACCTACAGTCGAGCTAATACATTTAAAGCTCCAGTGACCTTCCTGTGCCTTCGGACTTCCCAAAAGGCTAGATCCTGTTCAACAGCTCTGTACGTGCTTTACAACAGCCTTTGCTGTAAACAAACCACCGGGAGCATAAAGAATTGCTTCAGCCTTAGCTTGCAGAGGCGGCTGCAAGCTCCAGATTATTTCAAATCAGGACACACACTTAAACAACACTAAGAATGGACAATTTGTACCTAGCTAGGTACAAATACAGCTTCACTGATGAGATTCTGAAATACAAGTGTGACAGTGGAACTTTGGAGACAGCTTAGAGTAATGCTGCAGAATGATATCGTACATCCTGACCAGACAGAACGGGTAAATTGGGAACTAAAGTTTTGTCAGTAAGTAAAACATGAGAGGAAACAAAGTCAAGACCTTCCACAGATACGGACATCTTACCCTTTCCATTTGACATTCTTTTGAAGACATAGGTCTGTAGTCGCCCTGAAACATCCTCTGAGTTGGTGGTGAGACCATCCTTCACGGCTTGGAATCCATACAGCACCACCATAGGTTTGTGACCCAGCCACAGTGTACAGATGTTGCCATAGATTTTTGCCAGCTGTAGGTTAGATCAATGCCAAAAAAATAACCATGAGAGAAACATCAACCAAAATGCACACGTGATGGGCATGACATGCTCTCTTCCAGCATGCCATTACCCAGGGGTTCAGGAAATGAAAAAGGGCAGAGGTTTTGTTTTGCAGTGGAAGTGCTTACTGCAGTAAGGTTCTGGGCTCTCTCTGGGAACCCACTATTCACAGCAATGGAATGACAAAAGAAGAGACGCTTTTCCCCTTTTTACACCTTGACCTGGGTGGCCTTTGCGATAGTAACAATTAAGAAAACACCCCTGACTTAGTGTTTACAGACCTGTACTAGCTTTCACATTAAATTTCACCTGTCCATTCTCGAATACATTTTTCAACTCTGTATTGCATTTCCTCAGCCAGCAACAAGTTGTTCTTGAAATTACATATTCCAGGTGTAACTTTCCTTCTAGTCCCGCAGATTTCAAGTTTCAATGGCAGGACCTCTTCACCTCTCATACAGAAGTGCTGTCCACTGAGGCATCTGAACATAGATCCAACCTCTGCTTGAGTAGTGATGGGGACTGCTCTCAGGCAACCTTGTGGGTATTCAGCAAGGACAAAGTCCCCAACTCTAGGCAACGAAAGAGTACAGCTCTGTCCTCCCACAGTGATCAACATGTACCCATCAAAAAACTTTAGCATCAAGGTCTTTTAAGTTCCCTTGTCCTAAAGCCAACATTCTCCAGCTGCAGCCAGGTATCCCCTGACATGTAGGTTTTACTTAGCACCTAAGGAAAGGCCATACTTGAAAAATATGTCAACACGTTGGATTCTGTCACGAAGCTTTGACTCAGCAAAGGATGCTGAGCACTGAAAGAACCTGTATTAACATGCTTAGCATGTTCTAATTCTTCCCATCAGCTCCTTCCTTTCACCACCACATACATCCTTAGCTCATCTGCAAGGAGCAATTCCCAGACTGGACTTTAGAAAAACAACGGAGCTACAGTTTTGGCTGCATATGGGATACAATCTTGTTTCCATCTCATGATAGCAGAAGACATACTGGTGTGCTTTTCATGTCTTCTGAATTTAAGACACTTTTTTTTTTAGAAGATCTTCTGTGTGCACCTCTGGTAGGAAATCTGAGAAACACTTTTTTCTTTTAAGGCAAAACGTCTCCCTTAAAAAACAAAGTCTTTTTTGAGGCAAAATTACGGTCCTCAGTTCTGTTCAACTTGCACACATATTAGCTTTCACACGGATTAGACTGTCTACAGATTTTACTTAACTTGTTTAGGCACTTAATTTAACTTCCATGATTCACCCTCTCTCAGGATTAAGTTCTCCCTGCCACCACATTGGCCTATCAACAGCCATCACCAGTTTTTACAGTTTTTGCCTCAATAGCTCTTTAGCTCACATCTGCAAATTCATACCTTTTTCAGGCTCCCATGATCAGCTCTAAAATTTATCCACCAGATGCTTCCAATGAAGGGAAATGGGGTTGGTCCAGGAGGAAATCCACAACTTTTCCATTGCAATTTCAGGAACTGTGCACCCAGAAGAAACAAAATCAGGGATATGAGAATTACACTTATCATCATTTCACACCTCCAAACTACTCTATCACTGAGAAAACTACTATGAATCTGTCTGTTGAAATCACTCTATATTGTTGTTCTTAACTCTTCCCTGTAACATTTAAGCTTTCTGAATTTTTTTCCTCCCTTCTTTCCTGATTGCAGAAAATGAGTAGTGTTCCCATTCTTGAGTGCATTTAATACATCACTATGCTGCAATATGCTAATACCTACCATCACTTTCGGATCTGGTAGAGGCTAGAAGGCAGGCACCTTATTCAGAAACATCCCTTTGAGCAATCGGTTTGATGGAACATGTCACTCAAAGCACTGACTACAGGCAAGCCAAGAGCTCAGATACAAAGCTGCAGCTGTCATCCGGGCACTACGTACACAGACAAGGACAGGAGCACTCCCCAGGTAGCATCCTCATGGCAGAGGCAAAAGGAAGCAGTCGGTAGCCTTGTATAAGAATGGCTGCAAACACAGATTTGGTAACCAAGAGCAAGGAAGTGCTGTAATCTGAGTTTTCACAGTAAACAATGTAGTTTTCACAGTAAACAATGCAAATAGCACAGTGAAGAATCAAGTGTTGTTAGTACTGTTGGCAAAAAGCATAACAGATCTCATACACAAATAAACTCCAAGTTCATCACATCTCAGAAGACATCACTGATTTTCTCTGGAAAGATTCTGAAGATTTTTGTGCAATCAAAATCTTCTTCCACCCGCCAAAGGTCTAGCTGCACCCCTGATCCATGCTTTTCCGAGCTCCTCAGGTCTACACACCAGAGATCACCCATGGCTGCCCTGCAAGCACAGTGCACCTGGAAGAAGCCAGCCAAGTGCCTCTCGCAGCTCTCTACACTGCAGAGAATACTCAGGGAAGCAGACCAAGAAGGGCTTCTCCAGGCACAGCGTGGCTGGACCATGGATCAGGGTGCCCCAAGCACCCTTTTCCTCCAGCCCCCCACTGTGACTGGTCTAAGACTAAACTCCAGTGCAATAAGGAGCTAAGGAAATTACAGGATTTTACAAAGTTTATTGTCAAGCTGTAATAATTCAGTGATGCAAATTAATTCCTAAATTTCCTCCAGTTCCCTCTAACTAGCAAGACGTTTCACATGACAAAGCCTTTACCTGCCTGTAATGGCAAACGAAGGTGGCACATGAAGCTCGTTTCCCCAGAACAGCTTATTCCCACATCCTAGCAAACACTAATAGGTCAAAGAATCTTCCTCTGGTTTAACCCCAGAAGCGCATGACATTTTATTTCCTTGGCTGGGGCCCCTCTTCTGAACTCCAGGTAGATTTCTCTAACGTACCTCTATGTCACACAATTACTAGAGACCACAGTCTAAAGGATAGGCAGGGACTAAGACTTTTAATCCGGACATTGTTAAATCCCAGGAGCTGCCTTTTAACACAGCTTGCAGCACAACAAACTCCACCTCACCTGCCTGTGTTTAGAGCAGCATTTCCCAACAGTGGCTGCTCAGGGACTGGCAAATATAACAAGGAGCACGTTTCAGATGTCATAGGAGAACACTGGAAATCCCAAGGGGAGGTTGCAGTGTGCTATCTCAAGATGCCTGTAACAATTCCAGGAGAACAAGTGTTCTTATTCTCATTTTACAGGTGGAAAAATCCTGGTGGTGGGAGAGGCAGGATAGCATTGCCAGGGATATAGGTCTTCTGAACAACACAGGTGTAGGTTCAAAAACCTGATGGGTAGCAGTTTACCTTGTGCCCATAACTCCACCTGCAGCAGGAGTCCTGGCAAGGTAATCATACTGAACTCCTCCACAAACACAATGGCCTTTGCTTTTGTTCTGCTAAAAGCAGTAGTCTGACTCCTCCCACGAAGTACAGGAGGACAGGGAGCACAGGCCAACACTCTTCAGGGATCACCACACTCCTAGATAAAAGAGCTCCTTTGCTTGTTTGGAAGCACAGACTGACAGCTCTGCTGACTACTTCATATCAGGTCTAGAGCTGGATCCTCCCTCAGCAGCCAAGGCTTTCCAACCCCCTGTTGGCACTGAGTTCTTGTCCACTATGAGGCTTTACACATTAGAGTTCCTGCCTTCTTTCAGTAGAAAGACTGACTCCTGCTCAGCCAGAATTAATGTCAGAGTCTGTAATTCTTTGCTTTATTTTTAATTCACAGCACTTGAAGGAGCGCATACAAAGACGTCCTCAACACAAGAAACTAGAAACAGGAGCAGTTCTTAGAAAATTTCTTGAGTGAAGTTAATGGAATAGGCTGTTTGAGATGTTGGTACCAAGCTGCCTCAAGAAGAACAGCACAGACCTTATAGGGATGGGGTTACACAGTGCTCCCCAAAAGATATTATGTGTTGACTTCTTTAACTCTATCAGGCAGTGTGAATCTAAATTCCTGCAAAAGGCTGCCGAAGATTGAGCTCCATGCGTGCTGGCTGCTCACCCAAAAATATATGGAGCCCTGCAGAAAGGACCTGAAAGGGCAATTATTGGTCTTAACTGCTGTTCTCCACCCCATCCTCTGCTGCCTTGCCCCGTGCTTTCTCTGAGGCTGTTACTCCTTGCCAGAGCAGAGATGGCCCTGCAAGCTGTCATTCTTTCTCAAGAGTCACTGTCTAAACAAAACTCAACCCATCCTTGCAGCACTGCTTGCATAATCCATTGGTGTTACTTATTAGCTGGCAGAAGGGACATCAGGCACATTTTGAAAGATGGTTTCACATTTTATTCCTTCATCTGAGTTCTTCAGCAGCATTCGAGGTATCTATCTCAACACCTGTTGAAGAGTGAGAAGAGTAAGAAGGCTTCTCTGGAGAAAAAAAAAAAAGTCCTTCCTCATGCAGGAGTTGACCAGGGTTGAACTCCAGAGTTTTCTTTTGATGCTCAGGAATCAGTCAGGACATCATATATTTGCAATAACCCCACTGACCTGCAAGAAAGGAGGAGTTGGTCCCTGGCTGCCTCTTAACCTCTCTCTGGCAAAGTCATTCACACAGAAAAAAACTCAGGTTTTATTTACTGCATTGAGCAGAATACACTGTATTTGCGTAGCTGCTTTTCCTTGAATATTTCTTCTCTTTGATTAGTAAACGAGACTGATAATCCTTCCTGGTTTGCAAGCAGCACTGCAACTGAGGAACGTGCTGGTTTTTCCCTTTTGTCTTGAATTGCTGCTGGTCAGGCATCACAGGCAATCTTAATACAAGATTTATAATGCAAAGGGATACACAATCAACAGCTTCACAGAAGTGTCCAGATGTGTTCTACACACCCAGACACACACAGTAACTGTATATTTGATGATGTTCATTGCCACATCTGGAAGAATTTAAATAGAAATGTCTTGTCTGAAATTACTCACAACTTTCCAATAACTTCCCAATTCTGATCACAATTCCATTTCTGTAAACACAGCTAAGACTTTGCATGCTTTGGCCCTGTAGTTCAGTCCATGGAAGTTTTAGTTGCATAACAGCTGGATATTTCCTACATCCACACTTTCATATGGAGAGCATCATTTTCCTCACCCTGCATTTCTGTCCAGGTACGACAGCAGATTTTTTTTATTTTTTATCTGAAGGATTCATGGACACATTTAGCACGTCAAGCTTCTTCCTAAAAACCCAAGCAGAGAGAGAAACTTGAAAGCAGAATTACTTCTTCATGACATATTTTCATAGTAAGTCTTCAGTTTAAGAAACAAGACAAGCAGTCAGTGCCATGAAAAATTTTCTTTCCAGGGTTTCCAAAATATTGCAAAGCACAACTTCCTTTAAAAAAAAAAAAAACAAACAACCAAAAACCCTCAACATCCCCACAAAAAACACCCAGTTCCGACAGAATTAATTTCTGCATCAAGGACATCAGGTCTGACCTATGGCTCTACTTAAATCCCAGCGGATTACCCTCCCTGTGAGTAGGGAGAGAGGGCTGCTTTTCCATTTGCCACTTGCCACATTTTGCTATTGCAGATTCAACAACTATAAGTATGATCTTTTACTAAATAACCGGGTGTGGTACGTGAGAATTCCTAAGAGCAGGGTGTGTTTTCTGCTACAATCTGCCCATGCAACAAGGCAGCTGATACAGTGGTGCCACGTCAGAGTAAGTTCGGACGCAACACCACACAGTACACTGCCTCATGCCTTCAGCAATGCAGCAGGAACCGTTTGGTTAGTCCGCATTTCCATAGCCCCCACCTGCAGGTAAGCACCATTGGCACAGCTATATAGAGGGGCAGCAACTCAGCTTACTGTAACACGCCTATCCCTTCCTAACAGGCAAGGGTGTTACAGTGAGATGGCATCAGGGAGGGCAGAATGCCACTATTTCTCCCTGCTTTTACAGTCTCTTAAAAACCAATTGTCAGGTTTATAGTACTCAGCATAAAGCTTTTTTTAGCCAGTTATAGTGGTTGATCATTCCAGCTAAAGGTAGTAATTTCACATAAACCTCATTGCATGGAGAATGTGATAGGCTGCATTAAACCTCAACTGCCTGAGGTTTCCAAGGATAAGACAAAGTCAGCTCCCAGAGAAAGCATCTATGCACCCATGGCAATTTCAGGAGCTGTACAGTCAGCAGAGACATGACCAGGAACATGAGAGCCTCACTGATTGACGGCAGATGCCTTCTATTTTACAAGAGACAAGGGAAGCATCAGCTGTGGATGTATCATCTGAAGCTACTTTATTCTGCTCTGAAGCATTCGCTTCTGAAAGAGTTCTTGTCATACTCAGAATTAACAGGTACCTCATCGTCTTCTCTTCTGACATCCTTTTACTCTTCCAGACTACTAGGAAAGTTTATTCACTGGAGCTTATTCAACAAGCTTTTCTCTCCCAACATGCTATGACCATAAGAATCATGCCTACAATTGAAGAACAGTTTTCCTTCAGATAATTCAGGAGATAAGTCCCCACAGGATTGTAAGGTGGAGCCGTGCAGGCAGAGCAAATTTCTTAAGAACTAATCGCAAGCACAGGGAAGAAGAGTTCCAAATTTAGCGCTGTATG